GTATTCTTAGGAAGTTTCAGCTGAATCCAAGTTTGAACGATTTTCGTCAGAGTAGCACTTTAACCAAAAATATGCATTGGAAAAAATTGCCCATACATTTGGAATATTTGCTCTTTTTGGTCTTTTTCCTCTCTTTCCAAAGCAAAAGGTTGTTCTTAAAAGTAAAGTTATATAGCACAAGTAAACTGCGTTACAAAACATCCTAAATGACCTTGTAAATCTTCTGTTTTTTTAACTCGTGGATACGCGAAGCGTAGAGACGAGTTATTTTGAGGGGTCTGAATATGCAAATGTGTCACTCGCTCGCTCACTCACTAAGATGTTAGCAGATCGTCTTACGTCATCTGATTACGAACGTTACACGACACGAACAAGCACAAAGCTCTCATTCAGTAAAGACTACTTTCGCTATTTATATGAGGAAATGAACTGCTGATGTTTCATGTGGGATACTTCTTGAAAGCATGATTTTCATTGATTATGTTTCACTTCCGGAAAGCTGCGCATGCGCTAAAAATGGATTATGCCAGAGCCCTCGTTCTTCGCCGCAGGCCGAAAGAAACGCAGGCTCTGGGTACGAGATTGTCTTCGGATTATTTATATCAAAAGAATCAAGGAAAGATGCAACTTGAAGTAAAATAATACAATTAACGCCTAAAACTAAAATACCAATGAGTCAAACCTTTTTTTGTGGTTAGTCCGTCGATAGACGGCTAACCACTATGCTATCGCGTAGCTTGAACCACTTCCCCTCCCCTGGTAGGGAGAATCATTTTTCACATATTATGCAGTAAGTTTTTTATTTACTGAATTTATCAGTTCATTTAACTGTTAGAGCTTTCATTATACATCTCAAAACAGTGGAATAACAGTTTTCATGGCCGATCTTGACAGTGAGTTGCAAAAACAAAACGGCTGACCAATTTGTGCCGTGCTGCTGTGGGCCACTAGACCTTCCCCCCTGGGGTTACTTGTTGGAATCGTGCCACAAATCATGCTTCCTGTCATCTATCTATCTATCTATCTATCTGTCATGTTCGGTCATGTTCAATGCGATAAACTTCCGACAAAATGATATGCCATTTTCACTCGTGGATTACATCATTACATCGAGTTGCTACAGCAAATTTTCTGCCGTCTTAATCAAGTCCGGGCCCAAGTAAGAGCGCACTACAGTCTCGACAAGATAGTCTCATACAAAACAAACTCATTACTTGTATACTGAAAACTATATATATATATACACTTGATTGCAGAAAGGTTGTAGTATACATTTATACAAATATCTAATTTATTCAGTATATTTAATGATATGCAAAACAGAAAAATCGCTTTATTTATTATTTGTTTCATTCTATGAACATCAAAATATTGTATTCTTGTGTTTTACATCCTACAGATTATAAATCAATTGGTTTTGAGGGTTAAAAAAGTAAAATTGCAATATGCATCTAATTAGGTATTTGTATAAATGTATATATGTATACTACAACGTTACTGCAATCGAGTGTATATATATATATATATATATATATATATTGAAAACTATATTGAGCCTCCTAATTGTAGGATAAATGAGGCCGTAATTTACAGTATATATTCAGACCTTCAGGGAGTTTAATATAAACAAACCAACAACAAAAAACGCATTGTCGGTTGTGAATTAAATCAGACCTTGAATCTCTTCCGATGAATTTTAAGATAATTCAGCCTTTTGTTAGCCTTTTTGTTCATGGAATTTCCAATTTCTTTAGAACAATCGAGAAACTATATCTTTGAGCAATAATCTAATATGAGTTTATCTTGTGATTGATAATGATCAACAAGGCAACATTGTCTTAAAACTATTTCTACTTCTTTGCAATCATGTGATAAATAGGTTCTTGCTATATATACAGCAGATTCGAAACTGAACAACAAAGATTTATGAAAACAGTCGTTCAACGAGGAGCAGTGTTTATTCAAAAGTAAAAGTTTTTAATAAAACACATGGTTCGAATTTTTTATATGGCATTAAAAACCTCCAACACCAATAAAACCAAAAATTTTAAATAAAATAATAGAAAATGTTATGAAAAGTTATGAAAACTGCCTTAGGCCATTCTGATCATAATGCGCATAATTTCCCATGTATGTACACTGAGGATTTACGTTTCACTTTTGGGAAATACCCTTTCTTGATTTCATATACAAGTTCATTTCTTTGGTCCGTTCTGATCACATGGTTGAACTCATGAATTATTAATGACTTTGGATGACTTTAGTATTATCTCTCCTGTCCTCATACCGTTCATTTTACTTCTTTGGACTAACCACATGCGCTTCTTGAGCGCCTTTAATTGCTGATGCGATAAAGTAAACAGAAACGCTTATGTACAATCGTCAACATATTTAGATCCTCTCAGAAGACTCGTAGTTAGAGCCGGATGCATCGAAAAAAGAACTTTTCATTAGATTTCAAAACGAGTCATGGAATCTTGAAGAAAGTTCAGCTAGTTTTGTCATCCAAATAAGCCGTTGTGAATTAAAAGTAGATTGATCGTCGGACATCACAAACAGCCGGAGCCATGTTCTGGTGTCGCTTGTATCTATAAACTGCTAAGGTACAAATCTACTCCATAGATGTCGCTCGAGACTAACGTGAATTCGCTCCAATAAATAACTAGTAATTACTAATCATCTTACCAGCTAAATTGAGTATTTAAAATATGAAATCGAGCGAATACTTTGAAACCTTCGAATGTCAACAAGCATAAGGACACAGGGAGCCCAATCTCTGAAAAGTTCAACTAGTATCCACGAGTTCGCCAAAGGGCGGTTTGATTTTTTTTTTTTTTTT